AAAAGGCGGAGGAGAAGCTGGAGGAGAAAGCCCAGCAGGAGAAGGCTATTCGCTGCACAGCTTCAGTGTTGTCACAGTTCTCCCGAAAGATGCACAAAAAGATGAAAGCTACTTCACATATCTTCACATTCTACGGTTCGAACTCAGTTCTGTTTCTTCAGTGAACCCTCAGTATGCCTCCCAAAGATGAATGAATCCCAAATCACCTTACTGGAGATGTTCTGCTCCAGGTGCCAGGCTTGGAGAAGGCAAAAGAGGAATCCTTACCCTTACTTGAAAAGTTTGCCGGAGAGTTGGATGATCTTGAAGAGCGCTTCTTGAACAGCCGCATCAACAACATAGAAGACAGGCCTTTCTTGGAGAGGGATGGAGCGATTCAAAGCATCGTGGCAGAGATGAAGAAGACGCAGCGGCTGAAAATTAACAAACCAAGAGTCGTTTGTTTGTGGAGCCCTCGAGGGACGGGAAAGAGCTCAGTCATTCGACGCCTGGCCAAGATGGATGAATATGCAGAAAGCCGTCGATGTGGACGCCTTCTGGTGTTTGACGCACAACAGATGAATGACCTTCAAGAGACGAAATGTTCTACGCTTGTCTCTGCCATGGTCCTGTGGCACCTTCTGCAGCTGCTTGACGGTTACGGCGTCAAATTGGCAGGGCAGGTGGTCAACTTCAACCGCATGAAGTTCACCGATGTGGTTGAACTCGTAAAACGTAGTTCAACACCTTTAACTGGTCGTTTAAGCAGCTTTGAGGCTTGGGTTAGGTCATCTTGCAAGATGGAGCGCGATGTTTTCAAGCAGTGGTGTTTGGTAACGGCTGCAGCCTTCAACGCTCAACAGGACTGTGCTTGCTTGGTGTTGTTGGATCAGACTGAGCTCCTTGTCAAACAAAGGCTGGGTCAGCCAAGCTCCTTTGGCGGAAGCAGATCAAGGTTCACCGAAGTGTGTAGCCAGTTTCCTCAGCAGATGGCTGTTTATTGCACAGGCACCGTCAATATACAGCTTGACTTACCCGCAGCGGAGTACACACGTCTCTATATTATATCTTTACCAGCTCTTCGGCCATTATCTTTTGAAGGTGCCAAAGAAGCCATGGTACAGTGGGGAGGGACACAATACGGCGAGGAGGTGCTCGATCAAATATATCTTTTCTCTGCTGGGGTCCCACGACTTCTGGAATATGTGTTTCAAACAGATGGTGAATTAAGATCAACTTTTGAGATTGCATTCAATGCCATGTCCGAATGTTTTGAAAGTTCCTATCGATCTGCAGCGCCTTTCTTTGATCAACCAAATGCGGCATTGTCGCTGGTTCTTTGCTCAGCAGTTCGTTGGAACGCAACCGACAGTGAGCTTGTGCCGGGCACATCGAAAAGGTGGCTAGATATTTTCAACGCGGGAGCCGCATTTCCAAATGGCGCTTCTGTGTTGGTTCCGCTCGTTTGGTGGTTTCGTGATCAGAAAAGACGGAAACTGCTGGCTCAAAAGGCCCGAGAGTTGAACATCAGCCTCGAAGGTCTCTTGCCAGATCCTGCCGATTTGCTTCAGGCTCCACAACAAGGCCCGCTTTCCCGAGGGACACTGTGGGAAGAGCAGGTTTGCAATGCTTTGGCCGCCCGTTTTTATTTGTATTGCCTGGCAGATCAAAAAACTCCATGCGACACCTACATACCTTTTCTAGATATCTATCCTACGACAGACGACCATTTACGCAGTGTATTGGAACAATTCAGTGTTTGCTGGAGTGACGGGGTCGAGTATCCAAAGAAGGAAGCAAGTGTCCTTGACAGGGTCGGGAAGGCCATCAAATGCAACAAGAATTTCAAGAGTGCTCACCATGACTTGCTGATCCCTGTGAAGCGAATTGAAACAGGACAGCTGGAGTACATAGCCGCACAGTGCCGTTGCGGAAGTCCCAAAACTGCAGCAGAGTTGACTACAACATACCAGGACAAAACCAGAAAACCCAGGACCAGTGACCCGAGCTCGGAGGTTCCTGACATGACGAATGTACTGTTGCAAATTTGTTCCACAAGTGAAGGGACGCAGAAGTTCCAGAAAGCTACACCCTGGGCAAAGCGGCAAGAGGAGAAGAGATATTCACTGATGAGCTGTAAAGCTATCATTGCGCAGCTTCACATGCTCCGCATCTTGTGATACAACGGCGACGGAGCCGCATGTGGACAACCGAATCATGTAGCTATGGCTTTAGCGTGGCATGGCCAAAGTTGCCTCTTTAGTGAAGATGCTGAGGCATTTTGGAAAGCTTTGCTGCCTACCGACCGGATTTTAAGTTGCCTACCGATGAATTTCTATTTGTGACACCGATGATCATGCAAACCTTGATCCGGAGTAGCTGAATGGCAGCTTATTCTGCTCAAACCCCATGCGCGCTCGAATTCTTCAGGACAGCAAAGTGCGACTTGTTTCCTGCCACCAAAGATGCCAGTCAGACATGTCAAAACAAAAAAAAGTTTGATTTGACCCAGCAAAGTCAAGATGATGTGCCTTTTCAGTATGATACATTCCGAGATTCGCAGGCAACTCTTGAGGCTGTGCACCTCCCCTGGAAGGCATAGCAAACAATGAACGTCATGAATTATATTCGATATTCAAACTTCATATACCTCAAGACCTAGAAGTTTTTTTTTGCTAACAGAAAATTGGCTGTTGTGCATGTTTGGATCTCCTTGACAGGAGTGGCAATGTGGTGGCGTACCAATCGTATCCTTACGTGTCATCGAAAGGTGGAAGGGCAAGGCCAGTCTGTCTCCATACCTTTCGTGAATACAAACAAGAGACCACTTGCACCACATAGTTTTTGCGAGCACGAGACACCAATTTGCTCAGCCAAAGCCAAGAGAGTCAGCGTCGATTGCAACAAGATTTTGGGCAGCTCAAGATGGAGAGAGATCCCGTTTTTCCCAAAAGCATCCGATGCTTGGGTTCTCGTTTAGTTTGAGTTTCGGGGGCGGAGCGACGGTCGATGGTAAAAAGGTTGGACGATCCGAGGAGCAGGGTGGGGGCGGGGCTGGGATGTCCGGGCAGAGGGAGAGGGTGGTGATTTGGCGGGGTGGTGATGTGGAGGGCGGTGTGGTGACGTGGCGATGCGGGTGGGAAAGGTCTAGGCAGAAGGAGCGAGGATCGGGGCACGAAAGAATGGACGAGCAGGTGTGGCTGCGTGCTGCGGGTGAGGAGAGCCCAATGAGAGAGAGGGAGGATCAGAAGACGAAAGGTTGGACGCGCAGGTGTGGCTGCGTGATGCGAACGATGCGGGTGGTCGAACGTGTTGGGGCGCGGGCGAAAAGGTACCGCGCTCCAGGTCCCGTTTGAGCTTGCGGAATCTTGCAAGGTCTATCGATTTATCAACGTTGTTGATTGTCGATTGCCTCCTTTTTGCCTGTAGTCAACAGCGGCTTTGCTGGATCCTTCGCACTAAGCCCAAAAGCATCTCCGATGCTTGGGTTCTTGTTCCCAAAAGCATCTCCGATGCTTGGGCTCTCGTTTAGTTTGAGTTTCCGGGGGGGGTGAGCGACGGTCGATGCTCGAAAGTTTGGACGATCCGAGGAGCAGGGTGGGGTGGAGCAGGGCGGGGCGATGTCCGGGCAGAGAGGGCGGTGATTTCGC